GTGACACAGTGTGGTCTGTCCCTCCTGCTGTTACATGTCCCACTGGGGACAGCTGGAGGGGCTGCAGTAAGATTGGGTGCAGTTCAGACAGGTTCATCTGAGAGTGTTAAACAACTTCAGGAGATGTTTCTTTATATGTCTTTGCTCTCTACAGTCTTGCCAAAGATTAAAGGTGAGAGCAAACACTGCTGTGTGGGCATTGAAGGAACAGGATAACTGTATGGGGGGCTCTCCCCTGTGTATGTGCTTGGCATACCTGAGTGCTGGGCTTTTCACAGTCTAATTCAAACCCAGTAGAAATGAGGGTAACCAAAAGGTTTTTTCTTTCCATATGAGGGCTATAAAAAGGTCCTTAGTGAAAGTGGCTTTATTTGGGAACCTACAGTTCAGGCTTAGCTGTGTTCTTAACAGTCTGGATAGAGTGAGACTCTGAGCCAACCATGAGGAAAAAAACAAACACATTTTAGGTCTCTCACTGCAAAAATCACACAAGAGCCCTGCCTGTGGGTGCTGATCTCAAACTAGACCTGGTGGCACAGCTCTCATTTTAATGGTGAATATTTATGCATCACTGCTCAGCATTAGAGAATCACACCTGAATCTTGACACTAACACTGTCACCTGGGAACAGCAAAGCACTTACAACCTGTATTTTCCGATGCCTGGAGGCATCACTAGAACCTAAAAGCCCTTTGTAGAGGCTTAGTGAGGACAGGCAATTCTCTACCTGCCATTCCCTGCTCCTTTCCTTCTTCTCATCATTGTCGCCCTGTGATTCTCTGTGGGCTCTGCTGAATTAAAAAGAAAAAACTGAGGGCTGGAGATATCCAGGAGGGGCAACAAGCAGCCTGTGATGGAGAAATAAGGGACAGAGGTTTTCAAGCAAACTTTGGCACTCGAGGAAATCCGCATTTAACTACCTTTCTGAGATGAGTTCAGGAAGCCCAATGTAGGACATTCCCCACGTGCAGCCCTTACAGTCATCTAATCAGCAGGTGCCAGGGTCCAGGATGTGAATCAGAGTAATTAATTTCCATATACAATTGGCAGAAGGAAGTGAAGACTCCCCTAGGGAAGACCCAGAAAGCCAAGTAATTACAAAGAGCTGGAAAGACAAGGCACAGTGTTTCCTTCTCTCTCTGAAATTTCAACACCCGAATTCGACTCCTTTGTCACATTCTGAAACAATAAACTAATCTGCAGGACAAAGAAACAGAGGAGCAGAAATGTTACAGCCCCATCTAGGACTGACCCAGTAAGAACAGTAGAAGCAGCTGGGCTTGATTTTTCCAACAAACTTCATGCTGCTTCATTACCATGTCTCCATGCTGGATTGCTCAGACATCTCAAGCCTTTCACCATCCCTTCCCACTTGTGTCAGCATCTTTCCATGGATTCCACAGCTCTGTAAAGAACCTGCAAGAAGCCCAGGGAGACCCATGAGCAAGTCCACATGGGCAAGTGCTGCTGAAACCGTTTGATGTTGCAGACTCTGCTCTGGAGCA